CTGTGCCGTCTCGGGGGTAACTATTCAGATCTGTTGCTGTGGTTGCCTGCAGCCAGACAATAGTAAACGCTGTTCCAACAAAACATTTTTATAAAACAGGGCACAGGCCAGATTTGGGCTGTGGGCCTTGGTCTGCTGACTCCTTTAACACAAATGAACATTTTTCAGTTTTCTCCTTGAACAGATATTTCTTTCCCATCCTGCTTCCTTCATAGAATTTTACTTTAATGTCATATATTTTTATGTTTAGTTTTTTTTAATTTATCACCATGTTGTCATTCTTTGGCCTAGCAATATGTGTAATGCCTTAAATTTAATAATTTTTTTCAGCCACAAAGTTCAAAGTTTCAAAATATCTTGGCTTGAGTTACCAATTTTGACTAAGACACAACTGATCAAAAAACAAATATATTAAAATTCTGATAAGCACAAAACATGCACATTTATTGGAAATGCATCTTATCATGAGCTGGCTTTTCCACTGGTTTCTTTTCTGCATAGAGAAATATTATTTATTACTTTGATGAGATAGTGTTCAGCACTAGTTTTATGCCTTTTTTTAATTGTAGGCCATGACAAAATTTGTCCCTATAGGTGAGAATAGAAGAAGTTTTAATAATAATATCCTTCCACCCTGAACTCCCTTTGAGTCATGTCAAAAATCAAATAGTAACCTAAGACCCCACATAATGTGTAGTGGGCATTTAGGTCCTTCTTAACTTGGCTGAAAGTAAATAAAAAGAAATCACCTGAGCTACAAAAAGAGTCACCCCTTTCATTTCTAAGGCCACCCTCAGCTTTACTAGCGCACATTTAATTAATGCCATAGCTGAAGCCCTTCCCGTCTGCCATGCACCAGGGATTGCAGAAAATTGGAAACTCATGCACTCTTTTTCTTGCAGGGCACACTTAATTATCGGGTAGGCCTGCCAATATCAAGACCGCATTTAAGTGTGGAAGACTAGAAACGTGTAAGAAATCACAAGGGCCCTTCCTTAGTCCCACAGCAGGACGGTCACCTGCCTCTCCGCCATTTTGACCTAAAGGTTCCATCTTCCAGCTCTGATCGCATGGCGTCCCCTGCAATCCACAGCGATGGCTCTTTAGGTTCTGTTTTTAGTTATAGAAATGACCTCTGGATGACTTCTGTGAAAAGGAAATTTAATGGAGCGATCTGGTGGCTTAAAGAATTGAGTGAAGATTTGAGCATCGGAGACTGGGGTGACAGGACTGGTGATCTTGCTAACCAGGACGCTATCCATGGTCAACATTTGTCACCTGTCTCAGGGTGACTCAGCTCTAACTGTCCTCTGCTGATATGTCACTCCACCCAAGATTCAAATTCCTGAGAGGATCGGCATGGTTTGGGTCATGGACCCACTTACTGCCTGAGGTGGTCTAGCCTCCGATTTGTAAAAAATTATTCTTTATTTATTTTTAGAAAGAGGATGGGAGGGAGAAAGAGAGAGAGAGAGAGAGAAACATCAATATGCAGTCGCCTCTCACACCCCCCCCACTGGGGACCTGGCCTGCAACCCAGGCACGTGCCCTGACTGAGAATCAAACTAGCAACCTTTTGGTTTGCAGGCTGGTGCTCAGTCCACTGAGCCACGTCAGCCAGGGCCCAAGTCCTAGATTTCTTAATTTTTGTGTTACTTATACCTGCTTATAAAATCACCCAGGCAAAATGTGAAAAACTTGAAAACATGATGGAAAATAGGTAAAAAAAATTATCCATAAGCCTTCCTTCCAAAGAACAATTATTCATAAATAGCATGGATCATTCATTTCTTTTCCATCTTTTTTCTATATTGTCCTCATTACATAGTGATTATAGTACATGCGCAATTTGCATTGCAGCTTTAAATCTAACATTTTAACATAAGAACTCACCTGTGTTAACCCAATACACACATTCTCTGAAAGGTCTCGTCATATTCTGTCAGGTTAAATGTATACTACTGCTGTATTGCTGGGCACTTAGATTACTTCTGGGTTTTATATTACAAACAATTCAGAACACATCATTTTTTTGTACAGCATTTAAAAATATAGTCTGTTTCCTCTTTATAGGTTTTCAAAAATGAAATTACGGAGCCAGAGGTTTTGGACATGCTACAGCCTCTTGGTACACACTGGTAGAAGGTTATGCTTATTTCAACTTCCCCAGCAATGAATGAGAAGGCCTTTTTCAAACTACCCTTGTCAACAGAGGAGAATGATGAAAAAAATCACTAATAAGGAAAAAATAGCACTTGAAGCATAAACTCTATTCCCTTGCTTTCTAGTGAGATTCATTATTTCCCTATGTATTTGTTAACCTGGAAATGCCGTTATCCCATAGCGATAATTCTTAGGGCTATTGCACCCCCGCTGGGCATCTCTAAAACATACTGTGGAGTTTATGCCAAAAGGGCAGTGTGCTAATTTGCGAATCCTGTGGGCTGTGGAATACCAAGAGATGAATGATCAGACTAGCCAAGATTTCAACTCCAAGTGGAAAGACACGAAGCCTACGTTTGTCTCAGAAAATCCAAAGCAAATGCCACAGGCATAATGAGATGTGTTTTGATTTCAGTTCCAACCATAATCTTTTTCTCGCATTCCCTGAAAACAATTTCTCAAATCGGTCTGTTAAAGGTAACAGCTCGAAATGACAAAAAATCAGAGAGAACCGTTTTGATAATAAAGCAAAGAACTAGGAAGCCAATTCCTTCCCAAGAAACGTAGAAACATCATCCTTGAATCAATTCAAGCCCAAATGAGAAAGGGTGATGTGCATGCACTGTGCTCACTGTGAAAGTTCTGTCTCCTGCAGAAGACCTCACAATGCAACTACTAGACGTCCTGCTCTGTAATGTTTGAATGAATATGCATCGCGAGCTGTTGAGAACACAAATGTATGTATAATAAAAAACGGCAAAGGGAATGATTCAGTAGCATCCCACTGGCTATATAACTTCCCAACTAAAAAATCCATCATTCATTCCATAATAAATTCATCAAATAATAATAAATTCAATAAACATGCCATACATGCTTCACATGATGAATTTTGCTGCATCCCTGTGACTACGTACATGAAATAGGCTCCCCTGAGCCATCCTGCAGAGTGTAAAAGACCGTCATGCCCCAGTCCATACACCTGGGGTACTCTGACCCGGACACGCTTCTCTATCAAGTGCAAGGCAAATTTCAAGAGGCAAAATCCTGCCGTATCTACCACGAATTTCTTTCCTGTACAGGTTCCTTTGGTGAACCGGAACAATATGGAAAAACCAGAAATGAGCTTGACTTTCCCATCCATTCTGATTTCAGACAGTAATAATCACGAGACTCCTGAGATGGCCCCACCAGACATCACTCAAGATGAAAACGGCAAAGATTCCCAACCTTCTCCTCTGCAACCTGTTCCTGCCCGTTCCGATTTAAACAATTTGGGGTGTGTTGTATCTGTGCTAGACACATCGAATGTGGAAGACCCCTCAATAATCTTCCCTTTTCTTACAAACACTGGAACGAATGTACACTCAGTTTTGGGATGTCTTCCCAGGCACGCTCCTACGAGTGGTCCATCGCTTCCCGATGTCCTGCCGCTGAGACTCGGGGCAGTGTCGTGGAACGCTCACACGGACACCGTGCAGGAGTGAGTTACGTGGCGTGCCCTAGGCCTCCCGCCTCCCGATTAAGAGCCTAGAAATGGGAAATGCACATTTCAAATGGAGCCTTAAGGAGCCTGTTGTTGCTGCCCTTTCTACCACTTATTTTTCAATGTCTGGCTACCCCCTGAGACAGTCTAGGGTAAATAAAATAGCCCAGGACAGGAGTCGGAAGACTGGTTTTGGAGGCAACATTCCTCTATCCACGGGTGATGTGACCCCAAGGCAGCACGCTCGTCACTTACCATCACTGCCGGGTGATGGCAGCAACACGTCCTTCAGTTGTAACCGATACCAAACACACACCACACAAACTCAGGTGGATGAGGGGTCAAGAGGCTGGGACGGTATGCTTCCCTACGATTAATGGTTCAGTAAGTTTGGAGATTTATCTGACCCATGGAGAAGAGAAACAGAAAAACTGAAGGAAAAAAAAGATTGTATAGATGCTATTTCTTCTTTCTGTGTGTGGGTGAATATATCAAAAGACAGTAAAGGATAACATATTTTCATAACTGCTACTTCAATGATTTTCAGCTGCTGTTTTCTGTGATTTCACAGCCCCTTGAGGATCAAACCCCGATTCTTATATAAACCGACCACTGAAAGAATCGTCTGTTCCAGACTTCCCACACACCCTGGGAACCCGTCTCTTTAACACAGGCCACACCTTGCCCAAGAATGCTCTGTGATTCCTCCTGAGTTCCACCTGGGGGCCCCTCTTATAAAACCTCTTTAGGACACCCCAACACTCTCTGGATCCTTTTCTCCTTAAAGTTCCTGCAACCCCGTTTGAACCATGCATTTTTCTGCTGTCGAACACTGTCCTGGTCTATTGCTCAGCCCACAGAGTGTGCCTCTTACACGTCAAGCTACGTACATGCTACAAAAGGAACTGAATAAGACGGGGACAGTCCTTTGTCCCTGAAGCATCCACCACGGGGTGGGCAGCCCAGTGGAGCCGCGACAGGTGTGTGAGCCCACTGCTGTGTACGACTCGCCCGACCAGCTGGGCACAGCAGCACGACTTTCATGTGTCCAGTCACCCCCCAAAGCAACCTGCCTCACTCAGCACCACGGTTCTGGCCTCCAGCACAATTCCTAAGATGCCCACACACACTTGTGGAGTAAAGGAATGAACAGATGAGGCCAGAGGAGAAATATGACCCCTTCTCGTCCTCTCTGTGATGCTCACACAGTATCCTTGACAGCACCTCCCCTGGGCCATCTCTCTACCGCACTCAGCACTGCAGGCTGATCAATCGTGGCTGGCTGTACCTGGCTGAAGGAAGATGGGGGGTGGCCCCAGCGGAGACCCCAGGGGCGCACTCGGCCACTCACCTGGCTTGCTGGCAGACGCAGCAGATCCACGCCTTCTCGTGCTTCTGGTAGGAGCAGCAGCTCTTGCAGACGTTGAACGCACAGTCCCCGCAGCGGCGCTTGGTGTTGACGAGGAAGGCGAAGGGTGAGCAGCAGCGCATGCAGCAGTGGTCCACGAACTTCGGGTGCTTCGAGAGGATGCTGCACTTGCTGCCCTCCTCGTCCAGCTTCTGCTTCATCTCGCTGGCACAGGGAAGGAGAAGGAAAGAGCAGGCCAGGTCAGGGGGCTCTCTCCCCAGAGCGGTCCCACCCCAGCACTCCCCCAGGCCGAGCCACACAGGGCATCTTCCTGTGCAACAATAAAACTCACCGAGATCAACCTCCTGACACCGTCCCCAAATGGGAACCCCAGTGGTGGACTAATTTTGTGTGCTTCCATATGTCCCATTTTCTAAGAGGGAGCATGAGAACCTTACTACTTCTACTTCAGACACTAGACCGGGGTACATTTCATTATTATAAAACTAAGCACATCCTCGAAAAACAAAACCTTTAACTTAATTAACTAACACCCTTTCGAAGGAGCAGGAGATTGCATTATTGTGTCATCGTGCTAAAACATGAATCCTCACAACAGCCCTGCTGGGAATAGGATCGATGCGGCGCTGGCCCCATTTCACGGCCCTGGAAATGGAAGCGCCCAGGGGTTTTAAAAGCTTTCAAATCAATGAGAGTCAATAAAGAGTCGCTGGGTGATGGGCGCATCCTAAGCAGGGGTGATTCAGAGTTGGATAAAAGACAGCTCCCTTTTTCTGGTCCACCGACCAGAGGAAAACTCTCAAAATCCAACCTAAATGGTAAACAATGGCTGCGTAGAGAGGAGACACCTTTGCCTGACACGTGTAGCGATTAGTCAGACAGGGTTAAGCGGAAGGGGGAATGTGAGAATTACCTGTATTCTACTCTGAGCTATTTAGGCGTCCATCCTCTCCTGTCCCCCCGCCCCCAGCCTCCCAACTTCCTCCTATTTTAAAGTGGGATGATATTGTAGATACTGTTTCAGTTTTGAAGCCTAGAAAACTGTGTTTTTTGTTTAGATTTTCGGGTGTGTAGGCATCAAGCGGTTCACAGATTTCTCTTATGATTTAAGCCTTCCGTACTATTTGTAATTATGTTCCCCTTTTCTTTCTAAATATTGCTTATTTGGGCCTAGGTGTTTTACCCTGAACTTTACGCAGGAATCTCATTTTCAGCTCCAGGAGGCTCCAGGCTGCATCTCCCGCCCCCCCCAGGCCGAAGGGAACATGCAGCCCCCTGCCGGCAGGGCCCATGGCCCCTGCTTTGCCTGTCGGAGGAGGCTGATCACTCTGGTTTCAGATTCCCTCTTCACTTCTACCTCCTGGAAATTTCCTGGTTCCTACTTCCCCCCCGACTTAAAAAAATTGACATATAATTGACATCCTATACTATTTACTCTTTATATTGTACAATTCAGTAGTTTTTACTATGTTCACCAAGCTCTGTGAAGCGCCGCCACCGTCTGGTCCCAGAACACCAGCCTCCACCCAGAAAGGAAGCCCCCACTTATGCAGTCACTCCCCCACCCTGTCTGCCCCCTCAGTCCTTGACGGCCACCAATCCACCTTCTGGTTCTAGGACTTTGCTTATTCCGGTCACATAATATGAATGGAATTGGACCATATGCGGCCTGCTGTATGTGGCTTCTTTCTTTGCGCGTGTTCAAGGCTCATCCCTGCTCTAGCGTATGTGAGTCCTTTTTGCTGCCAAATAATATTCCACTTATGGACGTGCGTATTTCACCTGTCCATCCTCAACTGAAGGGCACCCAGGCTGCTTCCGCTTTTTGGCTATTATGAACAAGGCTCCGCTGAACATTTATGTGGAAGTGTTCGTGTGGATCTGCCTTTTCAATTCCAGGACGGAAATCACTGGGTCATATGGTAATGCTGTGTTTAATTTTTTTAAGAAATTGCCAGACTGTTTTCCAAATGGCTGTACCATTTGGAATATGAGGGCTCTGATTTCTCCACACCCTCACCAACTCTGTTATAGCCATATCAGGAGGTACGAGGGGATATCTACCATATTTATAGGACTATAAGACCACTAGTCCATAAGATGTACCTAAGTTTTAAAGGAGGAAAATAGGAAAAAAATTTTGGAAGCAAAAAATGTAGTGAAATATTTAATAACCTGTGACCCCACTCCACCACCCCCACCCCCCACAGCCAGCCAGGCAAGCTACATTCAGACTATAAGACACATGCCCTTTTCCTCCCAAATTTGGGGGGAAGTGCATCTTATAGTCCAAAAAATATGGTAATTGTGGTTCTGATGTGCACTTCCCCAATGACGAATAATGCTGAGCATCTGTTCATATACTTACGGACCACTTGCACATCTTCTCTGAAGAAAAATCTATTCAAATCATCTGCCCATTTTAAAGTAGATTGTCTTTTTATTGCTGTGTTGAAAGAGTTCGCATGTATTCAGATACGAGTTCCTTCTCCATTTATGATTTGCAAAGATTTTCTCTTTCTTATATTAAACCTTACATTTCATTAGTATTTTTTACGTATTTTTAGTACAAAGAAGGGTTGCAGTGGCTCATCCCACCCTTCCATCACGGTTGGAAATCTGCATCTGGTTTTAGAACCTCATTTTTCACTTAACAACAACACAGCATAAACACCTTCCCACACCAGTTTGAAGAGTGCATGCAGCTTCAGCTTCCGCGTGCCCTGAGCTGGCTCACGCACCTGCTGCGGCCGCGCAGGGCTCACTCTGCACCGCGGTCTCTGACACTGGTTTGTGGCCAGAGCACTGGGTAATACAGGAAGCCTGAGTCTCGTGTTTAAAGAAGAGGCTACATCAGGCCAGCTCCTGATTCTATGAGGTAAAACACTGCATGTATATGTCCTACTGAACGAAATGTTTACAGGGAGACAGGAGAGGCTTTTTGTCCTGATGCATGAACATGCTGTTTTCCAGGCCTTCGGATGAAGAGCTAAGTCACCCATGGCTCTGAGGCCTGTAAACAATGTAAGAACGGCCTCCACCATCAACCAGCTTCGACTGATATTTCAGAGACACTAAATTAAATGGAAGAAAACATCCAGGAAGGAAAGTCTTTGGGAATCAGAAGAGCTCTGTGAACTCAGTCTACAGAATCACTTGAGCTTTATGAGTTTTGTGTCCTGATTCATGGGACTGCAAACACCAGTTTTGATCAGTTCCTGAAAAACTGCTCCTCCATCCTCCTAACGGCTGAAGCCAGACTTGGGACTTTTTCCTGGTCTTGTCTCTCCTTACATATCATAGTCAATCCAGGTTCGACACATTGTATCTTCTAGATGTAAACTATCTGGCATTCATTAACTTGTCTCCACCTTTGCTTTACCTGCTGCTGCCGAAACCCTCCCACCCCCACACCCAAGTCTGACCTGGTGTAATCTCTCCTGAGACCAGGGCATCAGCCTTTTCTAAACCAAGGAGACTTCTTCCTCTTCCCCAGTCTCTTCTCCAAACCACAGCAAGAAAGACCTTTTGAGGATGAAAATCTGGGTCACCCACCTGCTTCACATGCTTTCACAGGTTCCAGTAGTTTTTCAAGATGTAACAGGAGCACATGTGGCCTGTTTGCCTCTAAACCGACCCCCTCCTCTTAGGAGGCTCTGACCACAAAGCCTGTTCAAGTTCTTGCTGTTCTTTCAAAATCCCTTCTGTGAGGTTGGTCTACACGGTCTCTCTTCTTGAAAGCTCATCCCAGCATAAGCACCCCTGTGTTCACTGCAGCGCTATTTACAATCACTGAGATGTGGAAGCAGCCCAAGTGTCCATGAACAGATGAGTGGATAAAACAACCATGGGACATTGACACAATCGACTCTACTCGGTTGTGAAAAAAAGAAAATTTCACCCTTTGTGAAAGTATGGATGGACCTGGAGAACATTATGCTAAGTGAAATAAGCCAGTCAGAGAAAGACAAATCCCATATGATTTCACTCATATGTGGAATCTAATAAACAGACTGAACTAACAAGCAAAACAGAGGACAGACTCATAGACGGAGAGCAGATGACAGCTAGTTGGGGGAGGACGTTAGCGGGTGGAGGAGTTGAGCAAAAAGGAAACAGGACTCATGGACATGGACAACGGTGTGGTGATTGCTGTGGGGGTATAAGAGGGCTGAATGGTAATGAAAAAATGTAATAAAGATTAAATAAATTAAAAAAAAAAGAAAGCTCATCCTAAGTCCATTCACCCTCTTTCATTTCTCCACAAAAGGCTTTTCCTAACCCTTCAGAGTCAGTTAAGTCCCCCAGTGATTCCCTCTCAAAGCACCTTGGTTTTCTCCTTTATAGACTTTTCACAATTTCTGACGACCTATATGCGTAGATGCATTATATTTTAGCATATTTCATTTATGTCTATTTCACCACCCTAGATTTGGTTCCAAAGGAGAATTGCAAAGTACCGTGTACTATATATTATACTGTGTTGCAAAATACAGACAAGATACTCAAAGGATGCTCAAACACGCATCCAGGGCAACAGGTGTGCTAAAAGGCGGGCCCCTGACCGTGAGGAGCGATGCTGCCGATGTTCCCACGACTCAGCATTTCATCCTGATGTCTGTGAAGTCAAATCACATTGTTTCAAATCACCCACCTCTGAAGTCTATTTTCCTTGTGCTAATACTCGCATCTGTACCATTCTGAAAAAATGATTGTTGTGGCTTATTAATTTTGTGCATCTACTTTTATGCTGGAGCAATTAACAAAGAGAGAGCTTAATGGCCAATAAAGCCAGATAATGAGCTTAATTATAGAAGCCACACCTGATGGTAAAACTAGGCCTGAACGTGGACATGTGTTATTTCATGCATTTAACGAATATTGACGTAGCACTGACTGTCTCGTAGCACCGTGTCAGGCACCGAGGGTCACAGGAGTGGATGAATACGTCGGGAGCCCGAAGGCGGAGGGTCTGATGACCACAGACACACCTCACACGTGGGGATCAGGAAGAAGCAGGATGGGAATGTGCTGGAGTGGGCTCGTCGTGGGGTGGAACGCTGACCCCCAGCACCGTAGTGGAGGGTGGACCCTTCCTGGGGCACCACGGATTCCTCTCAGGCAAAGCTTCTGCATTGGGACTCAGATCTACCAAGTGCACTCTCTCTAATATTTCTCTGGTTCTTTTGGCTCACTCAGGTGAA